CTTCCTCCGGCATGTAGACCGAGGTGACGACTAATCTTGTCTCTTGTGTATATTGTATTATATTCTATATAACTAAAACTTACTCTATTTTCTATCGTGAGTAACCGGATTCGAGACTGGCAACGTACACCGTCTTAGTCCTGAAGAGATAACGCGTCTACGTCTTAATTTTCATAGACAGTGAGTGAGTGAGGTGTATGGACAAGGATGAACACAGGTACTATAAGACAGATACAATATATATATAAAACAAGGTGTTTAATTAGAGTAATTCATAAATAATCTTCTTTATAAATAAAATGATAGAGATTTGCAGTTGTGCGAGCATCATGGAAAACTACTGATAATATTTCAATTAGATTTTCTAAGTTTTGTTTCTTAGATACACGGCCCTTCTTTAAAATAAGAGATTATTGCGATATCATCATTTAATACAAAATTATTAAAATGTTAAGAAACAACGATTTTTATAAGCTCTACGTATACAGTGATGCGTATTTTCTTTCTTAATATATCAAGCTACGCGGACGAATTCACGGATATCAGCTAATATTATAATAATTATAACGGTTATCACTTTTAATATTTTTACATTATTATTGCCGTGTACATTATTCGAACCCTAAGAGAATACGCTAACCCATATCATCCTGTAGGCGTAGTAGAGCGTTGAGGCGACAATAGCAATTAAAACAGTATCCTTATTAAACAAAGAGATTTTAAAACGTCAATTCCATTCATTTTGATTACTACCTAATAAAGTTTTTGTCCATTGTTTGCCGATAAAGTGACTTGTGTTCAAAATTTACATCGGCAAGTAATTACGTTTTTGTGTTTTATTTTCATTGTATCATTGTAAGTAATGGATTGAATTGATTTATTTTTGTGAATTACGTTGCGAATAATAATTTCAAATTTATTATACGAGAGCGACTAGGATAAGCTAACTTGGTACAACCGGTACACCAAGTCACGCCATAGCAAAGACTGCCCGCACCGTCCTTTTTTTATGCGTTCAGAAGCCAAGTGAAGGGCTACCCTCTGGGAAGCAGGGGAGAGAGGTGGGGAATGCTCTAAGCATACCGCGCAGCCGGCTGCGTGGTTATGTGGGACTCACTATGAAACCTAAGTGCCTACCCACTAAACACCACCTAGGATTGGCTTTGGCCTGGAGCGCCTTTCTGCCGTATCGGAAGCGACCCTCCTTAGGGAAAGGGGGCACAGGGAAGGGAAAGGGGTCGTTTTATATCCGTCGCAAAACAATTCGAGCAGTGGGGCGGTGGGGGAAATCGAATGACCCGCTGGGTGGCGTGATCGGAGCACATGTTGTGTATAATTTTTGCTGTACCGGCGTACGACGACGCCGCCACAATGCCGTCATATTCATACTTTGTTTTTCGTTTTCATTTATTAATTACTGCAATCTAAGGGGGGAGGACTATATATTAAGTAATGAGTGGACTTATGATAGATTGTAATAAATTAAGGGGAATGTAAGGGAAGTAAGGTAAGGGATGTTAGACTGCCTCTAAGGGGTAGTTTTATTATCAGCAATAGACTTTTGATAGGATGTAATTAAGAAATTATTCTATTTTATAGGATAAGGTCATATTGAGGCAAGCTAACGTGGTGGTTCTTAATATGGTAGAGCCATGCTGCAGTGATATTACTGGTATAGTTGTAGCACAAATGGGTCGGCACTACCGGAAAAGGTCCACGCTCTCACAGAATACCAGCGTAAAATAGCAGCTTAACGCTGCTGTGTTTCGTATGGTGAGTGTAGAGAAACGGAGACCCTTGTTACTGGAAACGAGGCATTCCATCTTAGTCCTCACGGGTGACAAAGCATCAGCGTTTTTTATCGTAAGCGAGGATAGATGGAGTTGTCTATGGGCCACAGCAACCACTTCCTTATCCTATAAAAAAGCTTTATCCTTTGTTTTAATAAACATTTTGCTTAAAATTATATTTTTAATAAGCTGTGGTCCGGTCTGAAAGGTATGGGGAATAGTATACTTACAGGCTGAGAGGCATTCTGTATTAGTTCTCAGAGTTGACTATGAGGGGCACACTGAAATGATCGGGAATAAGAAAAACCACAGGCACGGTATAGCTAAATTGTATTTTATTGTTTTTCGAAATATTCTCCGTTCAACTTATTGCACTTTTCCATTCGTGCAAACCAATCATTAAAAAAGTAATTCCAGTCTGAAGTTGATGTTGACAAAATGGCTGATTTGTACGCTTCCACAGCTGCTTCGAGGTCTTCAAACCGTTGACCGCGTAATAAATCTTTCATTCTAGGGAATGTAAAGAAATCGTTTGGGCTCAGGTCAAGACTGTACAGAGGATGGCTCATCAGCTCAACGTTTTCCTGCTTCAAAAAATCATTTGTCTTCAGAGCCGTATGGGAGCTCGAATTATCGTGATCTAAGATGATGCGACGTTTCGGGTTATTTTTTCGGAGTTCGGCTATCATATCTGGCCAACAAACCGTGATATACCACTCAGCGGTAACCGTTTGGCGTTCCTGTAAATGCATTGTAGCAACATGCCCCTTTTTCGAGACAAACTTAGCGACCATTTTCTTTGACACGCTGCGGGAGCGAACCACTTTCATTGGTTTGACCTCGTCTTCGAAGACCCAAACTGCTGACTAATGTTTTCTTTCAGGTTCGTATGAATAACTAAATGATTCGTCACCTGAGACGATATTATAAACGGCATTTGAATTCCCTCAATTGAAGCGTTGCAGAGTATTCCGGCACCAATCTACACGAGCCGCCTTTTGCTCTTCGGACAAATTGTGGGGAACCCAGCGGGAAACTAGCTTTCTTATACATAGTTCATTATGTAATATCGACTGAATTGCAGTCATCCCCATAATGGTAACAGCCCGAATCTGTTCGTATGTCACATGACGGTCATCTAATATAATAGTTCTCTGCAGAAGAAACAGTGCTGAGCGACACACGACCGCGTTGGAACTCGTCATACCAGCGGTATATTGTCGTTTGACTCGGTGCTTCAACATCATAAATCGAAACAAGTTCGCTGATACATTTATCTTGAGATGAGCCGTGACGAAAATTGTGATAAATTATGGCACGGAAATGTTCACGCGTGAGCTCCATTTCTGTTAACGACGTGTCAACTTTAAACCAACATAGTTTTTGGTTTTAAACATTTTTTTTAATTGTTTGAATGTCATTAAGATTCTAAGAGGCCAGTATTCAAATTCTAAAAAAGGTGTTATTGTAACTCAATCCGAAATGTTCTATTCCCGATCATTTCAGTGTGCCCCTTGTACGCATCTGTAGCCATCTTTATTTAAAGTTGCTTTCGGGTGGTCATTGGCTGCAGTAGCCTCTAGACGGTGAACTCTAAGTTCCTTTGTCACTTGCATTTTATTTAAAAAATATATTTTTTTCAACTACCTCAGTAGGATAGTTATATTTTTAGAGTGTATATATGTTTGTATGTATGTTTATTTCTTTGGCATGCACTGTAGCCTATACAGAGGGATAGATTTTAACATCTGAGGTGTTGTTATATTTATCTTGTTTGAGGAAGTGACATAGGATATAAAATTAGAATTTTTCTCTTTTTGGTGAGGATTTTTTATGCATTTCCTCATTCTCCCGCTGGGTTTATTGCTTATTCTTCCCAGGACAGGGATTTTTTCCGAACCAGTGGTAAATTAAACAAAAGAGTGACTTTCAATAAGGATTATTTATAATTTATATTCGTCGATCACTAATGATCGATGTCTATGTTGAATAAAAATGTTCCTATTTCTGTTTGAGTATTGTTAATTACTGCTTTAACCATTGCATTTGTTAATTTGTAGTATTTCTTATCTCATCATTAATGACTGAACCATTCACCTGGACGAGATAAAACTGTAAATTTCTTAAAACAGGTCGCAATATGTTGCATTTTATCATCTATAATATAAAAATTAATCGCTGAATGTGTTGCTAAGCGCAAATCTCGAGAGCAGCTGAACCGATTTCTTTCATTCTTTTTTTATAATATTCCCTGAAGTACGAAGATGGTTCTTACGGAGAGAAAAATTAAAAAAATTGCCAGAAAAAGTCTAAAAACAACACTTTTCTATATTCCCATACAAAAGGTTCGTAATAATACTTTAAAGTCAATTTGAACTTTAATACCATACCATAAAGTTTAAGTGTTAGTGGAGGGGTTCCGGGAAGGCAAAAAAATTGAGTGACGTTAGTAATATTTAATATTAATAATATAAAGAGGAAAAATTTGTTTGTTTATTTGTTTGTTTGTTTGAATTGAATAGGCTCCGAAACTACTGGACCGATTTGAAAAATTCTTTCACCATTAGAATCCTACATTATCCCTGATGAACATAGGCGGTAGAATATTTTAAAAAAAGTTAGGGATCCGCATGAAAACTTCGTTAATGTAACCCAAGATGTGAAAAAATACCAAAAAGAATCCTTATATCGCGTACGCTGCGGAAACTATTGATAATAGAGCAAAGTGATGTGGACATCATATCTACAAAAAAGTCCGCAATATCATGTGTCTAACTATTACGTTTATGTCACAATAACTACTATTCCATGTTAAAGTATGCAATAGTAATGCCGGTACAAACTAGGCCACATTATTCGTACGTTGGTATTAGTCCCTATATATCCAAATAAATCACCAATATTCAAGGCTATATCAGTTACCTGCAGCGTGGTGCAGGTACTGTATATATATCAGTACCTGCACCAATAACCATCAATTACGTTAACCATGTAATTCAAGCAACATTTTCACTTTCTAAACCTTATTTTTTAATTCAGCAACCGTCCGTAGTGATGTCTCTTTCGAAGTTCGCATGTCGCGAGTCGCAGATGCGTGATATACGCGGGTGAAACCGCGGGGTACAGCTAGTGTGTGATAAATTTTTTAACAAGCAACTTTTATGTTAGAGTAGATAAAATGTAAAATAATTTGAACTGTTTTCTTTTCAGATACATTGGGCGACTGGGTGAGTGACTTATGATCATAACGTTTTTTTTAAATTTAAACTGGTTGGGATGCAGTGTAAGGAATATGGTCTAAAGGACTCTTTCACAACTATGCGGTGTGACAATCTAATATATAAAAAGCATGCGTGAGTTTCGTGGAACATTCGGTTGGAACAAAGTTCCTTTCGTAGAAAATTATTATTGATAAACATATTATCATCATCATCATCATTACAGCCTTTCATAAGTCCACTGCTGAACATAGGCCTCCCCCAAGGAATGCCACAAACCACGGTCCTGAGCCACCTGCATACATCGACTTACCAGGTCGTCACTCCATCTCGTGGGGGGTCGCCCTACACTTCGCCTACCGGTACGAGGCTGCCACTCAAGAACCTTTCTTCCCCATCGGTTGTCGGTTCTTCGAGCTATATGGCTGGCCCACTGCCACTTCAGCTTACTAATCCGTTGGGATATGTCGGTCACTCTGGTTCTACTGCGGATATCCTCATTTCTAAGTTTATCACGCAGAGAAACTCCGAGCATAGCCCTCTCCATAGCTCGCTGAGCGACCTTGAGCTTCCTCATACGGCCAGCAGTGAAGGACCACGTCTCAGATCCGTAAATCATCACTGGCAACACGCACTGGTTGTATAATTTCGTTTTAAGGCTTTGAGGAATGTCTGACGAGAAGATGTGTCGTAGTTTCCCGAACGCTGCCCAGCCGAGCCGAATCCGTCGATTGACCTCTCGCTAGAAGTTGGACTTACCTAGTCGGACTATTTGTCCCAGGTAAACATACTCGTCAACAACTTCGAGCTTAGTTCTCCTAACAACTACTGGCATAGGTGTGACATGGACATTTGTTTGTCCATGTTCATCTTAAGACCTATCCGTTGGGAGACACTATTGAGGTCATTGAGCATGGTGCTTAGATCCTCCAGCGATTCTGCCATAAGGACTATATCGTTGGCAAATCGAAGGTGAGTGATGTACTCGCCATTGATGTTAATACTTTCCAGTCCAGAAGCTTGGAAACGTCTTCCAATGCAGCGGTGAAGAGTTTCGGGGATATAACGTTACCCTGTCTTACACCTATCTGCAATTGGATAGGTTTCGTACTCTGGTTCTGTACTTGGATAGCCATCGTAGCCCTACTGTACAAGCACTTCAGCACTTCAATATACCGACAGTCAACTTGGCACCGCTGAAGGGACTGCAGCAACGCCCAAATTTCGACTGAATCAAAGGCTTTTTCATAGTCCACATACGCCAGGCATAGTGGCAAATTGTACTCCTCGGACTTCTGTACAACTTGCCGAAGGGTATGTATGTGGTCTATGGTGCTAAAGCCCTTTCGGAAACCGGCTTGTTCGGGAGGCTGGAAGTCGTCAAGTGTGCGCGCGAGACGATTCGTAATGAATCTCGAAAACAGCACGTAGACGTGGCTCGTAAGGGAAATCGGTCTGTAGTTCTTCAAGAGAGCGTAGTCACCTTTCTTGAAGAACAAGACCACCACACTTCTGCTCCACGCCTCCGGTGTAATGCCACCATGGAGGACGGAATTAAAAAGCTTCTGAAGGACTTCAAGTACCGGTTTTCCACCCGCTTTCAGAAGCTCCGCTGTAATTCCATCCTCGCCTGGGGCCTTGCCGTTTTTAAGATGCTGGAGAGCCATTCTAATCTCGCTCAGACTGACATCCGGGATATCTTCGGAATAGTGTCGGATAAGACTCGCTCTTGGATCGTTACTCACATTAGCGTGTGGCTCCAACGATGACGTGTACAGCTGCCCATAGAACCTCTCAATCTCACTCAAAATCTCAGGTGCCCCAGAAACGATGCTGCCACACTCGGTCCTCAGCTTTGCCAGTTGGCTCTTTCTGGCAGACAGATCTCTGGCAAAGACTTTGGAGCCTTGGTTCCGCTCGATCGCTTCTTCAATACAAGCTGTATTGAAGTTGCGTAAGTCCCGCCGCATGCATTTGGAGATCTGTCTGTTCAGTTGCCTGTATGCTGTCAAATCTGTTGAAAAATGTAGCTTCATCTCCCGTCTAACAGCCATGAGATTAAGAGTGTGATCGGAGAGTTTTTGTGTTCTTCTGCGGCGGGTCTTGCAGTACTTAGCTCCGACCGCATGGACAGTTTCCACGAGCTTGTCGTTCATGTCGTCCACTTCATTGCAGTTTTCTAGGCACTGAAAACGGTTTTGTAACTCGAGCTGAAAGGTTTCAGGACTTTGGAACAGAGCACGAGGGGGACGGAGCGTTGACTTCATTAGACGAGACCTATCCAACTTAACGTTTAGGTTCAGTGTACCTCTAACCATTCGGTGATCGCTACCAGTTTTCACCCTCGCGATCACGGAGACATCACTGAACAGTTGTCGTCTGGTCGTCATAATGAAGTCAATCTCATTTTATTGTTGAACCGTCGGGGCTGGACCAGGTCCACTTCCTGTGGGGCCGCTTCTGGAAGAAAAAGTTCATCATAAAGAGTCCCTCTTTCTCCATGAAGTCGGCCAGCTGCTAGCCCCTTGGGTTCCGTTGTGCTATTCCAAATTTCCCTACTTTCAGCTCACCGTTCGCTCTTGTGCCTAGTTTTGCATTGAAGTCTCCCAATAACACCATATATTGGGTTTTGGAGGAATGCATGGCTCTAGAGATATCCTCATACATTTCCTCCACCTCCTCATCGGGGTGTGCCGAGGTTGGTGCGTAAACCTGTATGACCTTCAGCGAATACCGTTTGGTGATTCTGAGTATAAGGTACGCAACCCTCGTCGACACACTCGATCTTTACAACGTTGTTAACGAGAGACTTGTGGACGATAAATCCGACACCTCCTTGGGACAGATGGTCGCCCTCCCGGTGGCAGAGCAAGTTGCCGGATTCAAAGATTACCGTGTCCTCCCCCTCTCTTCGGACTTCGGATAATCCTATAATATGCCAGCGTAACTTGTCTATCTCTTCTTCCAGCCTCCACGATCTTCTCGTCAGTCCTCAGGGTGCGTGCGTTGTACGTTGCCGTTACCATAGTCGCCACCGTAGCCAGAAATAGCGGGGCCGCCGGGGACTGGGAGCCGTCTCTTTGTTACTCTCTTCATAGGGGGGTATTTGCCATAGTTGCCACGCTTGGCGAGCGGGTTGGCAACCGCAGTTTTTTTTTATTGGAATTTCGGCTTCTATCAGGAAGATGCTTCTGCCCATCTCCTGCCTGTTTCCCTTCGTCGCCTTTTACGACACCCACGGGAAGATATGGGGTAGTGGATATTCTTGACCGCCACTACACGACTAAACATATTATATTATTGCTTAATAAATACACATAAATTATACTAGCTTCTATTAGAATGAAGCGTCATTTAAAGTAAAATAATATTTCTTTCATGGCAAGATAAGAAAAAGCGCGAGGTAGATGGATATTATTCCATCTCGTTTCCTTATGGCCGTGAAGGCCGTCTACACTACGTCAGAAGGGGTCGTGACGGAAAAATCTTACACTTTTTCTCGCCTAGCACCCATCCGCCAAATTCGTACCATCCCATAAGGAACTTCCAATAATTATTATTAAAATTAGTTTGTATATTGTACAATCTTTTGTCCTTAGAGTTCTGGCGTTAGTTCGTCAACTGATTTGGCGTTGCCTGGCGCGCAGTCTTCGGCGTTTAAACGACACCTCATACGGAGCAGATGTGAGTTATTTTTTAAATTAAATTATAGTTACGAACCGTGTAGTGGCGGTATGAGAATATCCACTACTCCATATGCTTCCCGTAGGTGTCTTAAGAGGCGCCAGAAGGAACCTGAAACAGGAGATTGGCAGCAGCATTTTCTTTATAACAACTCAAAATCTTAAGAAGTTGCGGCTGCCGACCCGCCTGTCATGCGTGGCAACTATGGCAAAAGCTACTATATGAGGAAATCTATGGGGTAGGTCTATGTTCAGCAGTGGACTTTTATATGCTGGAATGGATGGATGGTAACGAATGAACTTACGGTCCGCCTGATGGTTAGTGGCTAATCGGCCCATGGACACTTTCAAGACCTTCAGTCATTTCTAAGAAGGCCACGTATACGTTGTCATATGTATGTAGTACTGTTGGATAATCTATATCCTAGGCATAATGAAGACAATGTCAAAGACCTATGTGACATTATTGAAGTTATACTTCTTTGGGGCGATTGGAAAAAATGATGAGAGTGAATTTTTTTACGATGCGCGCGCACACCGACACCTAAAAACGACGCCATGAAGTTGTTACGATGCGCGCGCACACTGACACCTGAAAGCGACAACTTCAGTGGGTAATTGTCTGTCAAGGTTTTTTTGTTTTGTTACGCTAAAGAAGTATAACTTTTTTATACATCTATGGTATTTTTATGCTTCTGTGGTTTATACTCGCATAATAAATTATGGTTACAAACGGTAAAGAAATGATTATTACGTATTTTACACCCAGAAATCCTTCATATCAATCCACAACCTTTGTTGTTTTTTTTCTTTACCTCCCAGAATTCATGAGCACCCAGAAATCCTTACAGTTGTGACACCTTCTTCCCCCTCCCCTTTCTGCTGGAGAGAAATAAATGTTATCATTTTGAGGTTAGGTCTATGGGATTTTCTTATTAATTTTTCTCACGAACGCTGTATTACCTATTTATGGTAGTTGTGCCGGGATGTAGTAGACAGTCCCCTCTACCCTCAACTCACTCTCCCTACCCCCTCCTGCCAAACGATTCTAATATTTTACCTCACTGAGGACTAAGTTCGAATGCCTCGCAGCGTGTAATTGTACTGGATCTCTATATCTTTCATAATAGAACACAGCAGGCCGCCAAATATTTGTGCTTGCAGATATTTGGCGGCAGAATATATAAGAGGATGGTACATGGTACCCAACCAGACGGTGACATACGCTGAAAAGGAGTCCGAACACCTAGTATAGCATAAAGTTTTTTGACGGCCCCGTGGCGCAGTGGCTCAGCAATGACTTGTCTTTCATCATCATTATTACAGCTCTTCTCAAGTCCATTTCTGAACATAGGCCTCCCCCAAGGAATACCACAAAACACGGTCCTGAGCCATTTGCACCCATCGATTTCCTGCATGTCTTACCAGGTCGTCACTACATCTAGTGGGAGGACGCCCTACACTTTGTCCGCCGGTACGAGGCCGCCACTCGAGAACCTTTTTGCCCCAGCGGTTGTCGGTTCTACGAGCTATATGGCCGGCCCATTGCCACTTCAGCTTACTAATCTGTTGGGATATGTCGGTCACTCTGGTTCTACTGCGCATATCCTCATTTTTAAGTTTATCACGCAGAAAAACTCCGAGCATAGCCCTCTCCATAGCTCGCTGGGGAACCTTGAGCTTCCTCATCCGGCCAGCAGTGAAGTATACCCCCCAATGAGTTGTATGGCCTGTAAATAATTGTTCCGGGTCTGGATGTTTGTCCGTGTGAAATTTATGCACGTAAACTGCCCCCACGTTACAGGAGAAAATCCTAGTGTGTGGGGGTAACGTTTTTCAAAGAACAAAACAAAAAAAAAAATAACTGTATTTTTTTTATTTTAATTTCACAATGACATTTTAATGTCTCTAGCTTTTCATTGACATACGAGTTTGTGTATATAAAGGTACCATGTAGTGGCGTTGTAAGAATATCCTACTACGTCATATCATCCCGTGGGTGTCGTAAGAAGCAACAGAGGGAAACAAATCAGGAGATATGTAGCAACGTCATCCTAATAACGACTAACAATAAATAACTGCCGTGGCAACTATGGGAAATATATCCATCCCCCCCCCCCCTATAACACAATCTAAGCGTAGGCACTTGTGCAGCATTCGACCTTAATAGGCTGTGACGGTAACGGTGTGTAAAATATCATGTAATGCTTGGTATAACTCCGAATGTTGAGACATTTTTATTTATTTATCGTGAAACACCAACAGCATTACATTTATCACATTATGAAGTAGCATAACATTTAAATTTAATAACCGGTCAAGTGCGAGTCGGACTCGCGCATGAAGGGTTCCGTACCATCGTAAAACACGTTTCTAGTAGGTGAGCCCCCTTAAATTTTCACATTCTGTGGAAATTTCAACTGTCTACCTATTACGGATCATGAAATACAGCCTGCTGACAGACAGACGTACAGACAGCGGAGGCTTAGTAATAGGGCCCCGTTGGTTACCCTTCGGGTTCGGAATCCTAAAAAGCGTAGTCCTTCCCCGGTGGAGCCGACCCAATCGTCCTACAACCAAACTATAGCTGAAGCATGGCAGCGGCAACGGGAAAACTATACCAAATATCCCTCTTATGAGGCAATCTATGGGAAGGTTTATGGTCAGCTGTGGACTGTGATAGGCTGTAATTTTAGACCATTTAACCCAATGGACCCGAGTCGCATGATTATTCCCCTCTGCCAGGGTATTGGATTTAAAAATCTTGTGGGCTTATAAAAACTGTTTACGAAATCGATTTTATCATTACAAGAATCGTTTCCGCCGATGTAGGTGTTAGCAGTCAAATACTTAACATTTACAAAAAGATGGAGATACATTCCATATGTAAGTATTATTATTGTGATACATGATTTTTTTTGTTCTATTAAAATCGTCGAAAATAATGTCATAAATAATAATCAAGAACTTTACCGATTAGGTAATCGAGTACGTAATATTTCATAAAAATCGTAGTGATAATTTGGTGATAATCGCAATTTGACTACCGCACTCCCCACGAGACTATTTGATTTTTTTTTTAACAATTTAAACCTTCGTCCGCTACGAATTAGGTTCTTTACAAAACAATAATAATAATAACAATAAATTTTAACACGAAAGTATAAAATTACAACCGCACTCCTTACGAGATTATGTTATTTTTGTATAGCAATTTCAATCAACATTTCACACAATTTAGGTTGAAATTAAAAAAACGAATAACATGATAGCTATATAAGTGTAACGAGACTATTTCTTAACGCTGCAGTTGTCGCGGTTTAAAAAACGTAAGTGCTCGCGTGGCTTACATATTATGTAGTCCAATTTAACCCTAGAAGCCTAATCTGTCTTAGAGATACACAAAGCCTTAACATACGCCTCAGAGGCGTGCATATATATATATAACCATTTGTGGGCTAAAATATACTAATTATTTGTGATTTTTTTAAGAATCTGGGATATAGGGATTTATTCTAGTAATAAAACAGAGATTCATCAGTGATGCCCCTAATCACAGCCATTTATTACAACAAAATAAAACAATTTGCCTATATTCGAACAAAAAAAGTAACTTCTCATTAATCAACGGTAATATTAATTTTTTTCTAATATCTTTAATTTTTTTACTATTAATGACTTTTTCTTAACACAATTATTAAATTAAATCAGACTTTCAAAGAGTATCTTAAAGCTTAGAGCAGTCTACACACACATCAACTTTGTGCTCGCAACATACTGACTTTATGCACCTAAAACACACTAATTTAGACATTCTCTTTTTTTTGTAAGAGCTAAAAGTGCAGTATTTACGTTTTTTGGGCTCTGGTTCTCCCTCCTGAACTTCATTACTTGAATCAGTAGATTTGGCTTATGTTTTCTCGTAAACATCTTTCCAAAGTCGGCGCTTCATGTCTCATCTCCATCCAAGGCTTGACCAAATCTGTGCTGAGCTGCTTCGTGAATTCTCTCCTATTTAGGGGTATTTTATTGTTCTTGATCATGTTGTGGCCGTAAATAACAAAGTAACAGAGTTGACAAACGTCATGTTCAAGATGCCGCAGAATACAGCCATTGGCCATCTATTGGTTTTGCGACTGCACGACATTAAAGAGCACATTTAATCAAAGGAATCTACTCCTCCTTTGGACTGGTTGTAGAAATGAATCATGTCTGGCTTGCCACTTCAATCATTAATCACTGCATTTTCATCACAAGATGATAAGAGATACAACTATTTTTGCAGGCTTTGGTTTATAAGATACAAGCGTCAAGGGGCCATCGAAGCAAAACATAGAACTACCAACAGGACGAGATCTCGAGTTCTTACATTGTTCTGGGATTTCCCGGTTGTTTGATCGAATACTGCCAACTATAGTCAACTTGTACGGCTGTTGAAGTTTAGCGGCTTTGATCGTAATATATTTTATCTGAAATAATGGCAATATAACCACAAAAATACATAAAAAATAACAATCGCATAATCACACAATCAAAGTTAAAAGTTACACAAAGCCTAAACATACGTCTCAAAGGCGTACTACATGTCAATAAGTCGAAATTGGCGGGACTTACCTTAGCGATACGGGTACCATAGGCAAACTCCCGGCGGTCATGGAGTTGGCTAAGCCGGACGAACCACTAACTTCGCCCGTTAGAAAAAGATAGACAATTTTCGAATGCGTGTACGCCTCGTAGGCGTAGATAAGGCTTCTAGGGTTAAAATAAGAAGAAAGCTGTAAAATATCAACTTTAACTAATAAATACTCTTAAATAAAACAATGTAACATTTCCTCAACGGTTAAACATATTATTTAATAAAAAAAAAAACCTTTATAGGTACCTCCTTTTTATTTGAAATAATGATAAAAAAGCTTTTACATATTAATATATGAAAATGGCACATTAATTTCAAAGTGACATCACAAATTAGTTTACATACTTATTTCTTATCTAACTACT